ACTCACTGAAACCCTGAACAACGTACCACCGTGTAGCCCCATCCGACGGCCGTGCAAATAGTCCCATTCGAAGGTTCCTGGTAGTCCGAGGGCAGAGCGACCGTGGAGACCAAATCGTGGACGAAGACGAAGTTATGGGACGTCTGCGGGACAAAAGAGGAGAAAGTGAAATTAAATGTGATAAGAATGAAAAAAAGATAAAACATGAATAGGCTATTAAATGTAATAATAAAGATCGAAAAAAGATGAGGAACTGAAATTAAATGTAATAATAAAGATCGGAAAAAGGAGAAACTAAAATTAAATGTAATATGAAAAATCGAAAATTTATTCAATGTAATAATAAAAATCGAAAAGAGATGAGGAACTAAAATTAAATGTAATAAGAAAAATTGAAAAAAAAACGTGAATTGGCTATTAAATGTAATAATAAAAATCGAAAAAAAGATGAGGAACTAAAATTAAATGTAATAATAAAAATCGTAAAGATGAGGAACTAAAATTAAATGTAATAAGAAAATTCGAAAATTTATTCAATGTAATAATAAAAATCGAAAAAAAAGATGAGAAACTAAAATTAAATGTAATAAGAAAAATTGAAAAACGTGAATAGGCTATTAAATGTAATAATAAAAATCGGAAAAAAAGACAAGAATAGGCTATTAAATGTAATAATAATAATAATCGAAAAAAAGAGAAACTGAAATTAAATGTAATAAGAAAATTGAAAAAAAAAACATGAATAGGGTATTAAATGTAATAATAAAAATCGAAAAAAGGAGAAATTAAAATCAAATGTAATAATAATAATCGAAAAAAAGAGAAACTGAAATTAAATGTAATAAGAAAATTGAAAAAAAAAACATGAATAGGGTATTAAATGTAATAATAAAAATCGAAAAAAGGAGAAATTAAAATCAAATGTAATAATAATAATCGAAAAAAAGAGAAACTGAAATTAAATGTATTAAGAGAAATGAAAAAAAAGATGAATAGGCTACTAAATATAATAATGAAAATCGAAAAAAGGAGAAACTAAAATGTAATAATAAAAATCGAAAAAAACCCTGAATAGGCTATTAAATCTAATAATAAAAATCGAAAAGAGATGAGGAACTAAAATTAAATGTAATAAGAAAAAAAAAAAAAACGTGAATTGGCTATTAAATGTAATAATAAAAATCGAAAAAAGGAGAAACTGAAATAAAATGTAATAAGGAAAAAAATGAATAGGCTATTAAATGTAATAATAAAAATCGAAAAAAGATCAACTGAAATTAAATGTAATAATAAAAATCGAAAAAAGGGGAAACTAAAATTAAATGTAATAAGAAAAATCGAAAAAAAACATGAATATGCAATTAAATGTAATAAGAAAAATCGAAAAAAACATGAATAGGCTATTCAATGTAATAATAAAAATCGAAAAAAGATGAGAAACTAAAAAATGTAATAAGAAAAATCGAAAAAAAACATGAATAGGCAATTAAATGTAATAAGAAAATAACATGAATAGGATAAAAAGATAAAAAAATCAGAAGCTATATGAAACATTCTCTAATTTCCAATTTGCAATAACAATAGATAAGTAAAAAAAAAAAAAAGCAAAACAAACCAATCATCCAGAAAAATACGTCAAAAAAGCCTTTTCCACTCTCATGGCCCAGAAATATGTATACAAAAAGCAGTTTCTATTCTCATAGCTATCAGAAAATATAAATAAAAAAGCAGTTTCTATTCTTATAGCCCAGAAATATGTACATAAAAAAGCCTTTTCCATTCTCATAGGCCAGAAATATGTATAAAAAAAACATTTTCCATTCTTATAGTTATCAGAAAATATAAATAAAAAGCATTTTTCATTCTTATAGCCCAGAAATATGTATAAAAAACAGTTTCTATTCTTATAGCCCAGAAATATGTATAAAAGAAAGCCGTTTCTATTCTCATAGCTATCAGAAAATATAAATAAAAAAGCATTTTCTATTCTTATAGCCCAAAAATATGTACAAAAGAAAGCAGTTTCTATTCTCATAGCTCAGAAATATGTATAAGAAAAGCCTTTTCCATTCTTATAGCCCAGAAATATATACAAAAAAGCATTTTCTATTCTCATAGTTATCAGAAAATATAAATAAAAAAGCATTTTCTATTCTTATAGCCCAGAAATATGTATAAAAAAGCAGTTTCTATTCTCATAGCTATCAGAAAAAAAAACATTTTCCATTCTTATAGCCCAGAAATATGTATACTAAAAAGCATTTTCTATTCTCATAGTTATCAGAAAATATAAATAAAAAGCACTTTCCATTCTTATAGCCCAGAAATATGTATAAAACAGTTTCTATTCTCATAGCCCAGAAATATGTATAAAAAAACATTTTCCATTCTTATAGTTATCAGAATATAGAAATAAAAAAAAAGCATTTTCTATTCTTATAGCCCAGAAATATGTATAAAAAAAAACTTTCCATTCTCATAGCTTCCCCCCACCCCCACC